CCGCAGCCAAGAAGTATATGCCTTACCTGAACCTGAATGAATGCAAAATAGGGTTGGTGATTGGCTTCACCTGGGTGGTTGCCTTTGCGCTGGCTTCTCCCATCGTCTGTGGCTTCATCTTCAGCATACCTTACAGGAACAGGTATTCCTGTTCGGTCGCAGACCCACATGATGATTATTACTTAATCATTCACCTTATCTTGGTCGTCGCCTTCTCCACCATCACCATGATCGTCCTCACGGTGATCACGTCCGTGACCTTCCACCGGGAACGCAAGAAGCAGAAGAAGATCAAGGGCAACCAGACGATGGGCTATTTCGACCAGATCCTGATGACGCCTTATTTCAGGACCGAGTTCTATCCCGCGGTTTTCTCCTTCTGTATTGTTGTGGCCTACGTGCTCCTGTGGCTTCCCTTCACCGTGACCACGACCGTCGGGCCCATGATCTCGCAGCACTGGGCCAACGAGACGACCGAAGATTCGGACAGTAACTCTTACAGCATCTTTGACCCTAAGGACCGAGCCGGGATCAAGAGACGAGCGATGCTGGACGAGAGTCAGCTGCTTTCCCTCAATACCACGATGAGTCCGAACGTGACTTCTGAAATGGCCAACAAGATGAACAACATGACCATGAACGAAAACCTCATTCCAGAGGTCGTCGACACACCCGTCTCCGACACGGTGTTCATATGGTTCCGCTATATCTTCGACATTGTAGTGCCAATCCTAGTATTTATAGTCTTGAAGGATGTGCGGGGCAAGTGCGAGAGCCTCATAATGTGCTGTAGGCCCAACTCCGTTGACGTGGCGTCGCCCAAGCCAATGAGGCCTCCGTATCTGAAGCAGATGTCGACTCCTGGCACGGCAGAGAAGGAGTCGGGGTCCAAGTCAAAGAAGCCGAAGGGCAGCGGCAAGAACACCATTGGCTTCAAGACGCCAATCCTGTTCGCCACCTCCGAGGGCCTGCACATTCGGACGGTGGAGGAGACTTACCTCGACATGATCGACAACAAGCCCCTCATAGGCTTCGGCCGCCAGAACACGTCTGAACCTGTCTTTACCTACGATTTGTGCGACGTCATGCTCGGCTACGAAGACCTCACGGACTTCGACGGCCAGTACCACATCGACGACAACTACGACAACGACTCCATCACGGCGGACCTGGCCCAGAGCAACCCGGTGGTGATGGGCGCCAACAGGGCCGCCATGGGGCAGAGGCCGCAGCTCATCAGCGAGGACGAGGACGACATTCCTCCCGACGTGGAGATCCGGCCGCCGACGCCGCCGAAGGTTCAGATAGTCGGAAACGAACCGGCTGTGAACCTCGGCGACGACGTGGACGTGGACGCCAAGAGGAACAAGAAGGGCAAGAAGGTGGTGCGGTTCGCCACGATGCTGAACGAGGAGATCCCTCGCCTGGACAGCCCCGACAGCAGCTCCGGCCTCGACTCCTCCAGCGCCAGCGCCGGCTCCAGCGACTCCGGGATCATGGCCGACAACGAGCGCTCGTCCGCCACCGCTCACGACGAGGACAAGAAGCCCAGGTTCAGCGTGAACCGTAACCGGAACGCTCAGCGACCTCCCGCGGGCTCCGAACCGGGGAAGCCACCGCACCAGCCTCCGAGAAGGCCTCAGCCACCCGCCAAGAAGGCCTCCTCGGCGCCCAAGAAGGTCGTCGTGTCGAAGGTTCGGAACATCAAGAGTCGACACATCCAGAACATGAACGGTTCGCTCTCGTCGCTGGAGGGGCCGTCCGCGCAGCCCGGCAGAAGGTTCTCGAAGCCCGGAGCGAAGCCCGAGGGAGCGCCGTCGTCCAAGTAAGTGAAAAGGGGGTGAGAGTGGCTTGGCTACGTCAATGCGCTACTTAATATATATATAATATATATATATATATATATATATATAATATATATATATATATATATTGTTATATATTGATATTGATATTGATATTGATATATAAACATATATGCACTTTTACTTAGCATATATATANTTATATATATATATTATATAATATATATATATATATATATATATATATACTAAGTAAAGTACATATATGTATTCATATATCAACACGCATACACACAGGTATATATCTATTCATATCTAATGTATATTATATATCTGTTTATATTCTATATATCTGTATGTGTCGATATATATATATATATATAATATATATATATATATATATATATTATATATGTCATATACAAAATGAATGAAAGACACGGTAAACAAATATTTAAAGAAACCAAGTCTGTGCTTCTCAAGAGACTTTTCCTCACAGAAAATGACCATTTAAACCATAGAAAATGTATATGGTTTAGGGTAAACTAAAACAATTTGGTTGGAGTGTTTTGTTTTTATTATTCATTATTAGCATTATTATTATTACCATTAAATTTTATAAAATACTTTAAAGTTGAGAGGCACCATTTTCACATTAGAACTAGTAAAAAATCTTTATATATGTAAAATCCTTAGCAACTGAAAATATCTCACATACCCGACCTTCACGTGTCATCATAGTGAGTATTGCATCAGTTTCGCAAGAATATACACTGGCAATTTCATCAAGGGTTAAAGTATCAATTTAGAGATCTTGATAATTTAACAGATACTGTATCAGTTTCATTCGTTCACTGCCTCTTCAGATCATGCTTATTGTGTGCTCGATATCTACCGTCCGTTCTGGCGCATGGAGAACGTTTCATTCCCATAATTTCCTCCTCTCTATCCTTTAAAGCTACGAGATTCGATGTCTGACTATATATTTAGCATCGAAGTTCCTTTTTGATACAGTACGACATGTATGACATAATTCAGAAATTCTGTTTATTTCTTTGGCCTTCATTATTTTCATCAGTTGCTTCTCGGAATCGGGAAGTCGCCAGAATCTCATGCGAGGGCGCCACGGAACGTTAGGCTCGAGGACAAATAATTAATATTGTCGGGACAAAATTATTTATTTTTTTCCGTGTAAAGTATTTTTACAATATATATATGTGTGTGTGTGTGTGTGTGTATATATATATTTATATATATACATATGTATGAATAAGTATATACATACATATCCAGATATATATACGTGTATGTGCGTAAGTGAGTGCGTGTATTAGCTGTATCAAAAAGATTTTAGCTGAAATGTTCGTTAATCATTAACATGGGCAATCACCGGTCGCGGCACCCAAGACCACAAAGGTTACTACACATTTCCTGCCCAGTGAAGAAAATGCTCCTAGAAAAGCTATTAAACAGAGCTCTCCTTCTGTGGCCCAACCGCATCTATTTCCCCAACAGCATAGGACAAGGTTCACTAAAAAGGACAGACGTGACCAGAGCATTTCGCTGCTAAGGCTCATAATCTGAGTGCGTTACAGTTTGTGGCACTTTGTAAAGGTCCGAGGCCACGCTATTGCTTCATTTCGGGTGGACAGCTTGTTCGGTAGTCCCCGGGAGATTATAGTGTTACTTGCATAATTGCTGAAGATTTGTTTGCATTAGAGTCTACCTTGTGCTTGACCCAATTTCTCTTTTTCATTGTTGTCGTTGTTACTATGGCTGTCCATATTATTGTTATTGCTATTATCAGTCATTTATTATTATATTGTTATTCGATATTTATTTATTTATTTATATTTTGAACACAGGAACGGTTATCTTTTCCGTGAACAAATTAAGGAAAGTGATATAAGTTTGATTGCCCGCATATAAAATAAATAAACAAAATGAAAAAATAAATATATAGATAGACCATGATAGAAATTCATTTTCTGTGCCCGACATCAAATGGTATAATTTCAAGAAAAAAGCATGCATTCACATCCGTTATTTCGTTATTTCTACCCACGTTTTTTCCATCCATGCCTCGTATTCTGTTCATGGTTCACGGTCCAGCAGCTGCGTCTTTGTATGTGTTGTTCATTTAAGTTCGATATCGAAATCATTCGTACATTTTCTTTTTTTTTTAATATACGTGCTCGTAAAGCCATTGGATTTGTAATCTGACGAAGCAAAAAGATTTCCAGCACAAATCCTTTCAAGCAATTGTTATTTTTTACAGCTAAAACTGGTTCGTGCCACGTTCGATTTCTAGTTCATATGTAGTAAAGATAACACAGCTATCTTACTACATATTTACTACAAATGTGATCGACGGACGAAACGAGGCTCCGAGACGAAAGCTGAGCAGGTTAAAACTTGGCGCTGACCCGGGAGGTCATTATCTTTTTTATTCTTTGTGAAAGTCGTATCACACACACACACACACACACACACGCATAAGTGTGTGGGTATGTGTGCGTGCGTGTATGTGTATGTATGTGTATATATACAGTATATATACACAGTATATTCATCCCAACCGCTGTATGCTTCTCTACTGATAATCTATGATAATCAACCCTGTATTTTTGCTTATGTATATATATTTTTTTCCTCTCCAGTACTTCAGCAATGTCAATGCTTAGATAATACGAATTACATCACGTAAATTTAGACTACGGTTCTCAAAAATTACTCTTTTATTGAACAGGCTCAAATGATATTGCACTGAATCCTATGATAAACAGGGAAGATTACAATGAAGTGTATTGATTGTACGGCAGGAAAAGAGTAGATCCTATTTATGAAAATGATAACAGATATAGATAATAGAAATGATGATAACAGCGTTTATATTGATAAGAGTAACAATGATAACAGTGACAATTATAATAATAGTAATGGTACAGTAATTATAATAGTAATGGTACAATGATTATAATAGCAATGGTATAATAAGGATAATAGTAATAATAATAATGATAATAATAATTATTATACTAATGATAATAATAACAATAACAGCATCACTAAAGATAACAGTAATACTGATAATAAAGATAACAGTCCGGATAAGGAGAAAGACCAAGGCGCTAACGCCATTCCTTATTAATCTGCAGCCAGTAAGTATAGTTTTTTTTTACCCGTCTCTTTTTCTTCATTACGCAGAGAGAAAAAAAGTTGTTAGTGTGACATCAGGACCATCTGCCCTCTTCGGAAGCCTCGCCTGAGGATCGTTTGAATAGAAACAGCCTGTTTATCTTGATAATTTTCCTAACGACTGTTCCCGTCCTTGTATTATTCTGAGCCGACATGGGTGATGGCAGTGTGGTGCATCAGTGCGGTTGATGTTTTGATGTTCTTTATAAATATACCGAGTGTGTGTGTGTGTGTGCGTGTGCGTGTGTGTGTGTGTGTGTGTGTGTGTGTGTGTGGTGTGTGTGTGTGGTGTGTGTGTGTGTGTGTGTGTGTGTGTGTGTGTGCGGTGTATTGTCGCTTTGTTGTTTCTTTTTCTTTGCTGTCATTCTTTGTATGTTTTTGCTTTTTTGCTCTCTCTCTGTTGCTTTCTAAACTTCTAAAGTTCCTTTACCTGTATAAAATGTTCCATAAACCGTCGACTCATATATGTATCCCCCCCCCAGGACCGGCCCGAATAGATAGCAGAGGGAGACGTCCCAGCCCGCGGATTTCGGGCCCACGGGCCACGAGTCAGCCCCCGAGACCGAAGTGGAGAGACTGAGGACTCGGGCGCCTCCCGGAAGCCTCACGGAGCCAACTTTTCGGCGGTTGAAAGGCGTGTGAGGGTTTCGCAAAAGGGTTTCCTTCGTCGGCAGAAATCATGCAGGTGACGAAGACAATGGACTCGTGATAAATACAGGCACAAGAAGAAAGGGACAAAGTAAATATATAGTATTATATATATACATCTATATTTATATATACATACATATATACGTGTGTATATATGTAAGTAACAAAGATTCTTCGCCAAGACGGAAAAACAGTAATCACTTGGTGCCAGAAGGCTTGCAGGCTTGCTAATATTACCTTTGTGACATCAATGGCAACACGCACCAATGTTGCACGAGAATTGAACAATGTATGTGTCAAATAATGTCGGCACCAGGAGTGTACTGGCACCAGCAAATGCCTGCAACATGTGGACAACATGTCTGGATCCAAAGCTTATATCTCAATCTATTTCGTATAGTGATGTGATAAAGATGAAATGAAAAATAACGATGTGTAAAGATACTGAATTATGAGGAAAAAATGGCACCGTCCATACAGTATTGGTATATCTTTTCCCCATAATGATTATGCGGTTTCACGACGGATAGAGTATGTGGTATTACCTGCAACATGCAAAATAGCAAATCACTAAACATGATTATATACAATGTTTGTGAAAACACCTAAATTCTTCACATTTCACGAAGAAAATATAAAAGCACATCACTCGGTGGGGACGAATCACATAAACACCTGGCATGTATGAATGTTTTGGTCGGAAATATATTACGATGTCACGTCGATGGTTCATGCTAAATCACTATGCTTTGGTGATACAGTGCGATGGTGCCTGTTCTTTGTACCGGGTGTTTTATGCAGAAGGGATAGTATTTCCTGATAAACGAATGCTAATGAGAAAGTACGATAATCAACGCACCTTGTAATGACAATCACAAAGATATTGCCAGTCATGGAATCATGTAATAAACATTCGAATTTTAGGAGAGGAAGGAGTCTTGCGCAGTTGCCAATCATTATGTTTAGTTGAACTTTCCATAAGGAGAGATGATACATGTGGTGTGGGTGGAGGTTGAACCTTGAATCTCAACAATTTACTGAATGTACAAATACGTGTGATTAATATAGGAAACACTCTTAAAGAGAACGTAGTGTTTTATTTATCTTTATCCTTGAAATGTAATGAGAACGCGACTGGGATGGAAAAGCCGGAGAGAATTAAACAGTCCTCGCATCTAATTATCTAATATGCCATTTGTATGATATCAACATTATTGATATTTTCTGTTTGCTTTACCATTATTCTCTCATCCTTATTTGCTACGATCACTGGTACTTGGGGGAACAATTTTAAAAGAGTAACTAATTATCAATCTCAAAATTATTTCTTTTCTTAGTATTATTTGTCTCCAATATTATGCTACCGATATTAGCATTATAGTCAACATCAAAGAGGAGAATAACCAAGATAGAAAGAAAAAAAAATAATGTACAAACTAGATATATTAAAAATTAGACATCAGTTTCGAAATTCTCCTGTTTTTCGTCTAGACATTAAACCACAATAGAAAAGAATAACTACATGAAGATATTAATGAGTAGCCAAGTCATTAGCCCCCGCAACATAAGAATGGTTATATTCAGGCTGGACAATCCTTTGAAATACTCGAGTTATAAAAATATACATTTAAACAATAACAAAAAAAAAAAAAACGAGGAATCTTCTCAGAAGAAAGCCTAAACACTTAACTTTTTCTCGTGTCTTTAATGTTGTCTTTGTCTCGAAATGAAAGAGATGGATTTTTTTTTTATATAAGTGCAGCTATATCTAGATACAAGATATATTGCAAGCTTCATAGTTTGTTAAAGCTAATCAGATTAATATTTTTGTGGCATGGATATGAAA